TAATACCTATAAATTTTTATGGTAAAGGAACATCATAGTACATAACATAGCTGATCTGTTTCAAATGCACTCTCAAATCCAAAATAATTTTACATTCACAACAGAGAAAAATGGATGTTTCATGAGCTAGATCCTTTTACATTCCCAGTTATACAGTCTCAGTGAGCATGAAGTTATTAAAAACATAGTGAGTAAACTTAGAGTGGGGTGTCATGTTTTGGTATGTTTTAAAGTTTCCTTTACAATTAACATTGCTTTGTTAATATGAAGATCTAAGTGACAGATTTTTTTGATAAGCAATTCTATTTTTATATTTAAATCTCATATAAATTCCTGATTGTCATGTTCTTGTTAGTTGCCTTTTGAGTTTTGAGATTTTCTTCTTTTCTCTGATAAAACTTTGACTTAGATACCTCACAAACAGCAGATTTTTGTCTGCTGACAAAAATATGAGAATAGGCGAGGAGAACGTTGTTTTTTATCCTGAAAATGAAAAGGCAAAGGGAACCAAACTGCAGTCTTTCATTGCCTGTAGGGATAGCTATAAAGAAGACAGAGCCAAATCCTTCCTAGAAGTGCTCAGCAAAAGGACACGACACAAAGGTCACAATTGCTTTGACTGGACAAGAGGAAGAAATTCTTCATGGTGAGAGTGGGTCAATGCTGGAAGAGGCCACCCAGAGAGGCTGAGGAACCTCCATCCCTATGGATTTTCAGAAGTCAGTGGGGTAAACCTGTCTGCAACCTGATCAGAGTTTGCAATTAGCTTTGCTGTGAGTGGGGTATGGGACTGGGTGACTCCCAGGGGTCCTTTCCAGTCTAAAATTTCCTAGTTGTCTATAAAAGAGTACTTAAAATAATGGTCATCTGATTTTGTAATGAGGTTAAGTCAATCTTCAGAACACTTAACAGCCAGTACTTTCCATCAGAGTTAGTGCAGCTGTGGGAATTGACATGATGTGTACCAGTTTTTGAAGTTCTAAGCTTATTTCTCTGCAGCGTTTACATGGGCAAATCTTCTTTTAGATGCTGCGTTGGGTTACTATATATTTTAGGATTAACACTTTAGATGAGACAGATATATTCAAACCTCTCACCATCATTGTTATTTCCCTCTGGACTCTTTGCCAGTGTATACCAGGTACAGTCAAATAATCGCAACATTTTACACACAGGTATAAATAGCTCTATTTACCTAAACTAATAGCCTGGTTCTGCAAACATTTGCCATTGTGCATGAGCAGTTCCATTCAGTGTAGTGAATTATTCACCTTGTGCCCTAGTGGAAACCCTAGAAAAGTATTTTGAGTAGTTTTAAAAAACCACAGAAGTATTAGCTTGCACTCATTCATTCTATGTTATTCTTTGCAACATAATCATGGTGTACTACCTCACTCTGTGTGTGTATCTGAGTTTCCTTTTCTAGCTGAACACTTTCACAAATATCTTAATGGAATTATATTCATCTTACAGTCTTCCTCACATTCATCCACTGTGTGAGTACTTTTCTAAGTATTTGTGTTCTTGTCTAGTTTTCTTTCAACCATCAAATATATCACCGTTTGATTAAAAACACTAAACAGTATTCAGGTATCCAGAGCAAAGGCCCATGCTGCTTCCTTAAGGTGTCATAAATCAAGTAAGCCTTAATAAAGGTAGAAAAAATAAACAACTCTAGGGATTCATGGATATATTTTGCATTTATCTAACACTGGGTGTGAGTTAGCATTAAGCTACATTTTTATTTGTCTTATCCCAAGCGAAATGACTACATACAACACCCATGGTATAGAAGATGAGTGACCATATATTATTGTTAGATACTATATTATTGTAACATAATGTTATCCAATATATAATCAGAGATTTCACAGAGTACCATTCAGAACAGAAGTTCAAAGATGAAACTATTTCATTCCTTGGTACACTGCATAAATGCATAGTGCCCTCTGTTTAAAGAATACCTAAATCAATGATTCAGTTAAAATATCCTTTACATTTGCTAAGCAAATCTGTTGTTGTTATGCTGTATCTATTTTTTAGCAATATGAATCACATTTGTATTGTATTACATGAACGATATAGTTGGACAAGATGAAATCTGCCAGGAACCTCAGTTTTTCTTCATAGCAAGCCTGCAAAGCTTACAGGGGAGAAAACAAATCCTCTTGAAAAATGGTACTTTTTCTGCCATGCATCTCACCTGGACTTGGTTCTTCTGAATACAAGATAGATTTTTTTTTTTTTAGATAATAACACTGCACTTATTAAAAAATCACATAAAGGTTTTCAAACTGAGTTTGCTCTTACCACTCAAAACATGCCTCCATTTCCTGCTCTGCCACTCTGTGATCTTCCTTTCTTACTCTTGAATTAGTCTCCCAACATATTGTGACAGAGTTCAAGAAGTGCTTGCACAATACTCTTGGGCACATGGTATGAGTCTTGGGGATGGTCTTGTGCAGGACTAAGGGTTGGACCTGATAATCTTTGTGGCTTCCAACTCAACATATTCTCTGATTCTGTGATATTGACTACCCCAAAGACTTGTCCCACAGTTTTCCCAGTGACGGAGGTGGGGTGGACTCGTCTTTTGTACCCTGGACTTCTGACTTTTAAAAGTGGGCATAACATTTTCTTTTTATTGCTGTTTATTTCAAAATAAGATAAAAATAAAACTTTACTGTATTAGCTACCAGGTGAACTCATTTTGTGAAACCAAAATCAGTGCCAAACACAACGAGAGAGTTTCACAATGTTTGTAAACTGTCAGAATACACGGCACCTGTGGGGGTGCACTTCTCCTGCTTGTCCCATCAGAAGCTAAGGATCCTACCCTTTTACCCAGCACATCTGAATTATAACATTTGCAATACTTTAGACTTGCAATACTTTCAAGACCCCTCCAAAATGCACACACAAACAATGATATAATTCTGTATGTATTGTCAGTAAGATTAATAAACATGGGCTGCACCAGTCAGTTTTTCCTGCCTCTCGTGTCATCAGTTCCAGCTCCAGATCACAGAGCCTCCTTGCTGATTTTGCTGGTGCTGTCAGTCTTTCAGCAGGTCTATGAAGAGAAGATAATTGCTGCTTCACTCTGTCTTGGTGCTGAGAAGACGGTTTTACATATTATGTGGTCTGGAAGGAAAATAAGATACAAGAAAAAAAAAAAAGAGGGATGGAAGATTTAAAAAAAAAAGAGTAAAATGTGTTTCCTCCCTTTCTCCTCTTTTGGCAGACGAACCTGTGATGTCTAAGCTTTATACCCAGAGGCTGCATTTTAACCCCTGGTAAGTAGGTAACCTTTCCCAAACACCTTGCAGTGCAACGCTCCCCGCGAGAACGCTTGCTCTGCTGCGCAATCCTGTGGCGAACTACATGAAGCCCGAGGACAAATGTGTGCCTACCTCTGCTGAAAAATGACCCTTCAGGAAACCTGTCACGAATAAACCCCGCCAAATTACAAAAGGGAGCGCTGCAGGAGTCAGGTGGGTGGCCCACCGCCGATCCCCAGCTTCCTCCAGCCCAGAGGGGGAGGGATCTTGGCAAGAAAATAAGTTTCAACCAGTTTTAAATTACAATGGCAGGGGGTGCTCTGCGCCTCACCCCGCTGGGATTCGGAACAGGGAGGGTGTGGCGGCGGCGCCAGGCAGAGCCCGGCGGCGCTTCCCGGTCCGGCCCGGCGGGGGCGCTGCGAGCCCGGCGTTCATGGGCAGAGCGCGGCGCCTCCGCCGGCCCGGGCAGCCCCGGCGGCGGGGGGAGAGCGGGGCCGGTGCCTCCCGCCTGCCCGTCCCGCTTTCCGGGGGCTCGCCCCCGCCGGCAGTACCGCTCTGCGCCCCCCGCCCCGCGAAGGGCTCTGTGCCCCCCCGGAGGAGCCGGCGCCGCCGTCGGCCCGGCCGTCCTGAGGGCGCTGGGGGGCAGCTCCCGGGCCGTGCCCCCTGGGCGCGGTGCCTCTGCCTCGCCGGAGGCAACGGGGATAGGCAAGCCTGCAGGAGAGCCTGCGGAGCGGCGGTGGCCCCGAGGCGCTGCCCGGCCAGGCTGCCGTGCCTCTGGCCGGCCCCACGCCGCCTCCCCGCGCCTTCGGATCGGGCAGGGCGGGCGAGCGACGGCGGCAGAAACCGCGGGCTGCCGGCGGGGAAAGTTGGAAAGACCTCGGGGAGAGTCGGGGCAGGGGGCTGGAAGCGGGGCGGCGGGCGCGGAGGAGGAGCGGGGAGAAGCCGCACCGGGAGGAGCCGGAGGAGATCTGCGGGCGGTGCGTCAGGCGCCTCCGGGGTAGAGGGGGAAGAACGAGCCGGGCGGGGAGCACCGCTCCGGGTACCGGTGGCAGGGAAGGGAGAGCTGCGCCGGCATCCGGGGAAGGCGGGGGCAGCGCCGGTGACCTGCCGCAGATCGGCTCATCCGCCGCCGGAGGATGCACGGAGCGCCGGGCGCCCGCACGGACCCGCCGCCGCCGCCGCCTCCCCAGGGCGGCTGCGGGCAGCGCTGGGAGCGCCAGCGGCGATAGGGGAGCGCCGGGAAAGTTGTGCGGGCCGGGCATAGGGCTGCGTGCCCCGCGGAGGCAGGAGGGCATCGCCGGCATCAGCTCGGAGAAAGTGGGGTTGAAAAGCAGTTTCTGGTCTCGCTGCCGGCGAAGCGCATTTAACCATCATTCCGGGGATGAAGGGGAACTGGGAAAGTAACTCGGAAAAGTGACTGGGATTATTTTTTTTTTTCTTCCTTCTTTTTTCTTCCTAATCCGAAAAGACCCGTTTAAAAGGAAAGCAAAAGCCTCCGTGCGCCCGCTGCTGGGAGAGGCACGGGAGAGGAGGGTACTGCACACCGGCACCTTCGCCCGTGCTGGGCGAGGGTGCGGGATCCTACGCTCGGCTCTCCCCCAGCACGATCGTGTAACCAAAGCAGCTACTCATAGTAAACAGATTCATCATGCGACCGAGCTCAGGAAGGTGAGACAGAAGCAGAAACAGAAACTAACACTGAAAGGAAGAAAGGAAAAAAAAAAAAAAAAAGACAGCGACTGCGAATTACTTCCAGAGAAAGTGGGTGGATGTTGTGCAGCAGCGACCTGGGATTTTAGGGGATGCACCCTTACATTTTGCTTCTCTCTAGTCCGAGCCTCCCTTCTCCGGGGGCAGAAAGCGGCTGTACTTGGCAGTAACAAAACAGAAGGAGGAATAAGCAAGGGGATTTCGCTCAGCAGTGCTCGCAGTGTCCTACTGATCTGCTTCAAGGATTTTTTTTTTTCTTTTCCTGTTGGATGTTGTTTTCTTGACCTTGATTTTGAGACGTCTTAGTTGCATCGCAGTTTTTGTGGTTTTATTTCCTTCGGTGAAAAGTGGAAAGGGGGAGGCTGGCTTCGGTGCTGAAAGTTGCAATCGTTATTATTTTGGAGCCAGCATGTGCACCAACATAGTCTACGAGTGGCTGAAGACCCTGCAGCTACCCCAGTACGCGGAATCCTTCGTCGATAATGGCTACGACGACCTGGAGGTCTGCAAGCAGATCGGCGACCCGGACCTGGATGCCATCGGCGTGGCCGTGCCCCACCACAGGCGCCGAATCCACGAAGCCGTGCGGCGGCTGAAGGAGGCGGACGAGACGGCGGCGGGGCTGTACTTCACGCTGGAGCCGCAGCCGCCGCCGCGGCCGGCGCCCCCCGCGGCCGGGCGCTGCCCCCGCCGGGCGGGAGGTCCGGAGGAGCCCCGGCGGGGGCGGCTCCCCCGGCCCGGCCCGGCGGACGGCGTGGGGGAACCTGCGGCGAGGGGCTGACCGCCTACCCCAGGCTGAAGCTGAAGATCATGATACGGGACAAGCTCATCCGCGACGGCATCAACCTGAGTAAACCCCCCTACTCCAACAAGGTAAGAGGGTCCTCGCCGGCCGCCACCCCGGGAGGAGCCGTGGCTGCCGGGTGCGGTGGGGCAGCGGGGCCGCTGGACAAATCCTGCCACAGGCAGTGGCTGGAGATGCGGGGTCCGGCAGGGCCTGTGCCGTGCGCTGATGCTGAGTGTCTCTAGTTGCGCCAGTGGCATTTTCGGAGGGAAATCTGGTAAGGCCTGAGCACCAGCAAGGTGTGAAGAGAAGTGGGGCCAACAAAGGCCAGATCCGCCAACACTTCTCGGCCTTGGTGGTATGGCATGGCGCTGTGTTTTGGTTTTGCCTCTTTTTTTTTTTGTTTGTTTGTTTTTTTCCCATTAAACAGTTCTTTTAGTTTAGCTTGAGATGGGAAAACAGAAATTGATGGACTGGTCTTAATGGTTTGGGGAATTGTTTGATTGTTTTTGTTTTCTGTGAAACTTTTCCATTGTGTTTAAGAGGCATGGCTTCTCTCATCTTTTGCTAGCGGTCATATCTTAGTGTCAGTTTCTGTTGGTGAAATGGCTCCTGAAGCAAGTGGTAATATGGCTGGAGGAACAACTCCTTCTGTTGCCTGGATTTATTTACTGGAAGATTGTAGTGACTGGTGAATGTCAAAACTATTCATCAGCTGCTCCAGCACAGGTCAGTCAATCTCTAGTTGTTTCAGCACAGTCTGCTGAAAGACCGGAAAAGTGCGCATCTCAGAAGAGTACAATTCTGTTTGATAAAACCTCAGCGTTTACCTAATTCTTATTTTTTGAAAAGGTTAAAATGCAAGATTCATGTGGTCTGGAAGTTAGAAATTGTTTTGTTAGAAGTTTTCGGTAGATTTTCATCTGAAAACAGAATACGAGAATAAATGGAATAATAGTATTAAATGAATAACACCATGAAGGAGAATATAATTCGTGAAACAAACTAAGATATTATAATGCATGGTGGTTTCAGAGTTCACAATGAAATGCTTCAAAGTAGTTTGATGACTCAAGTTGCCTGTATTTTCTTTAATGATTTGAAGTCTCATTTTTCAGAAAGACTGAGCAGTTGCAGTTGACTTTCAACTTGTGGGTACTTTTTACCTCTAATAAGTTTATGTATATGTGGAAACAAGCTATTGGGAGGGCTGCAGCTCTGGGTTTACAGAAATGTGAGGAATTAAAATAGCGTGTAAGTAATCTGCCATAGGGGCCCTGGGTGTGGATAGCATTGTGGAGGTGCAGATAACGAGACCGTAAATTTCAGGATTCCAATTTTTTAACATCTTGGTGATAGAGGCCCATTAATCACTTCCCAAGTACAGTACAGTTGTTTGATTTGAGATATTTATTTGTTCCCTTCTCCTGAAACTTGTCTGATGACATTGTCAGAGACATTGTGCCGAATTTAACATTCATGAACATCTAGTCTAGGTACAGCACCTTCCAAAAGTTACTGTATCATTTTCAAGAGGTTTTCCCTCCCCCTCCCCTTTGAAGTGTTAACATCATTAGACCAAAATTACCATTACATGTCTGTTATATAAGAAATTCTATGGAAGCTTTGGCTTATTAGTGTAGCTGCACTGCATTACCTACCTCCACAGCTGCGTTTCACTCCTTCCTTTTGACTTTGTTTATGTTCTTAGTTACCAATTCCATTCTACCAAGTGGATCCTCTACTTCTTCTCTGAGGTATTTTAAAGATATGTAGAAGAGGCACTTTGGGGCATGGTGTACTGGTGGACTTGGAAGTGCTGACTAAGAGTTGGACTCAATGATCCTAGAAGTCTTTTCCAACTTAAATGATTCTATGATACTCTTCTACAGGAATTGTAAAATTTATGAGATGCCAGCATATGACATCAAGGCAATTCATATTATTGGCATTGGTTTCTTCTTTAGCTCACCTTATTTTAATTTGATCGGTCTGATAATAGTGTAGATTAACTGTAAGGGCAAGCCTGTGTTACACAGAAAGCATCACTCAGCTTTAATTAGTTTAAACTTAAATGCAATATTTTGAAATAGAAAGAGGAGCAAAGTTAACTTTTCTAGTTTTAATTCATGCTGGGGTGTCAATGTCTTTATTTTGGATAACAAATCATACAACATCATTTTTTTACAATAACAGAAAAAACTTTCTATATCTCCTCAGTGTGAATCACTTCACATTGCAGCATGTTGTAAGAAACCATAAAGCTGGAAAAGATTTGAGTTCGTGTTGCTCAACATGGGTTATTCTGAGTGCCACCCTATACTGTAGCAATCCGTCTCCAAAACGGCTTAAAGTGAATAGCAAAATATCACGTCACTGTACATTATTTATTGCATGTCTTTGACATACTGTGTTCTTCCAATTGGAAAAGGGCCATATTATAACATATTATAAGCAAAAACAAGCCTAAAAAACCAACAAAGCGAAACTATAGAAAACTGTGGCTGTAATTTAAGCATTATATTTTTAATATAGAAGATGCAGTGTACAGGCTTCTGCATGTAAAAGAAACTGGATATATTCTCTGCAGTACACAGGATTAAAGAATCTGCTTGAAATTTTGTTAGGTTTTTTAGCATAAATTTATCGCACATCCTTGTCATGTGGGTATTCTGAAGTGGGGCACTAGACCACTGACCTGTTTGACCTTTATTTGCATTTCTTGTTCTGCTGAGCTGCAAACTAGCCTTCTACTTACCTCCATGACTTACATGGAGAATACCATCTTCTTAATATCTATGAATGGAAATTATTATCTATAAAAGGAAGAGCATGCTGGTGTGTGTATGTGTGTATACAAGCATATATGCATTTCCCTTGTTCACTGAAGAATACTTCTTGTTCTCAGTTATGTACTTCTCAGGGAATTTTGGTGTTTTATTTTAAAACATCCCTGAGAACTGGAAGTGCTGCTCCTCTGGCTTGTTTGGAGCCTTTTGCTAGCTGCCTGGGCTGTAGACGTGTCAAAGATCAAAAATGAATATTGGAGATGTTAAAAGCATCCATTTGCTGTCCTTCCTTTTTGCTGTAGTTTCAGATGAAGTATGAAACAACAGAGTGGGCAGAATAGAAAGATATTGGCAGAGTAAATTTTAGTTTAACTTGGTTTGATTACAGTCAGCAGAATTGGCTAACAACTACTTAGCAGAGCTTAATATAAATCCCTTAAAGACGTGCAAACTTGGAATTGAAACCATATGTGTGGGTGACTTCAGACATAGAGAATTATCATAAGCCATCTTGCTTATTTCCATGGAGAATTAGAATGAGGCCTCACCTTCTCATATTGCATCTTATGTATTTTTCAGGTATAAACCAAGGAACATAACTGTAGCTGAGGAGAACTCTACAGAAGTCAGATTTTGTTCCGTGTTGGTAATGCTCCTTTATATTCAAAGCCTTCTGTTTTAGTTTGTCTACCAAGCTTACTGTTGCTGGCTGGTAGCCTTAGAAGAAACTTCTTGTGAGGTGATGGAATTGAATACCCTTCAAACAAGAACACATGGTCTAGTGAAACATCTTGTAATGTCAAAACATCTAGCTGCTTAAAAAGATTGTAATTAAGATGGCTGTAATTCTGTCCTTAATTAGAAAGTTAATTATGCCCAATGTAGAAACACTATTAATAGTCTTTTGCCACGTAGAAGTTTTGGGGGATGAATTGATGGCAGAAGGAAGCCAAAATGAGCAGCCCCACTGCCTTCCAGTGAAGACGAATGAAGAAGAATGCAGCACTGACCTGAACCAGCAAGATCAGAAAAGTATAGCCTTTAACTCCATGTGGCAACACTTCTTGCTTTGGTGTGCATATTCCAAAATGGATTACGTCCATGCTGTGTTTGAGCAGGAGTAAAGTCACTAAATGTCAGTGTGGAGCACCAACTTTGTCAATATAAAGACAAGTAGGGTACCTTGTTGTGGAACATGCCAAGAGAAATTTAGTACTCTATTTATCTTGAATATAGATTAAGTGACATTTAATAGTTTACTGGAATTTCATTACTATTTCTAATTGAAATAAATGGCCTGACCTGTTTCTTGAGGAACTTTTTTCAGTTTTTCATCTGCAGAGAATTGCAAATACATTAAAAACATACATGCATTAAATCTCCCACACCAATTAAGATGATTTGCTTAGCCTCAGTAAAGTTATTCTCATGTAGATTTCAGTATTTATTAGGGAGAATAAAACTGTAGTGTGACATATGTACATGTACGTGACCTCATTGTCACTCACTGTGCTGTTCATGATTATCAGCATGCTTGGAAAACAAACACTAAAAATTCAGCTGCGTTTGAGATCATAATCTCAAGAGTTCAAGCAGATGCAGAAGAGTAAAAAGTCAGATCCCAGTGAGTATCTGCTTAAACACCCGAACACATTTTTTTTTAAGTTATGTGGTGATGATATAGCACAGATTTGTGGTTCTGATTAAGTCATTGTTTAATCCTTGCCACTAAAAAATGATGAATATTTCACATAAGTTAAGTGTTAAGAGGTAAAGATACCAGAAATGCTGCTTTGAAATACACTGGTTCAATCTGAGGCTGGATAATGTATTCAGCACTTTAAATATCTACAGAAGTGAATTCAGCAAATTAAAAATATTGTGCTTTGAAGAAATGGCAACACTCACCTATACTAGAATTAAACATGAACCTTTTTCTAAAGATCTGGCTGCTTTAGAATAACTGCATCAACTCTGATTAGCAGAGCGTTCTCAAATATGCCTTGGGGAAAGCTGCCTATTGACAGAAGTACTAGTGCATTAAGTAGTAACAATATTTTCATGGCAATAAATTAGCAAAGCTACAGGCAATGTTCAGGATGTGAAAAGGTATTTTATATAAGATACCACTGAATTTTCCTTTGACTTCTTAATTTTTTCATTTAAAGACAACGTAGCACCTCATATATTTGGCAGCTGTTTCAAAGTCCCAGTTTATTAAACTCACAGAAAACAAACTGGAAAAGATCTTCTTCCATCAGACCATTAAGGCAAAATGTTGGAGAATATGAATAACACAG